GGAGGCCCCATAGATCGGCAAGAGATGGAACAATTAAGCAGTAGTACTACTCACGATGGTGGCTCTTGGTGGCGCCGGTGGCTGCAGCAGGTGAGCCAGGTGTTGGCCGCCCGTGTCCACCTCCAGCGTGAGGCTGCTGCTGTTCCCTGGAGCTGCTGTTTCACGAAACGGTGCGGTCCATGATCTGCGGTGGTGGCAATTGGCCGGTGGTGGTGGTGGGTAGTCCGCTGTGGCGCCGTGGTGGTGGTGGTGGTGGCCGTGGGCGAAGAACTGGTACTCGCACAGCCGGTGTTCCTGATGATGCTGATGATGCTGAAGAACGGGCGAGATCATGTGGTGTGGGCAGTTGCTGGCGCCGCACAAACCGCATGACATGGACATACTGCTAGCTAGCTCTATCGTTTGCTTGCTTGCTTGTTTGTTTCTGGTGTGATCTGGTGCGTGGAGGAGGAGAGATGTCGAGTACTAACTACTAAGGCACCTTTAAATAGCTAGGGCTGTACTGTGTCTCTCCCTCCTCCACTGCACTGCATATATGCAGCAGTGAGCTGCAGACCAGACACAAGATTCGATCTGAGAATTAGCAAAAGACGATGGATCAAATCAAATCAAATTGGCCCAACTAATGAGCGCGTCGGAATAGATACGATCCCGCCATCCATTTTTTTATTTCTTTCTTTCTTACGCGGAGGAGCTGGAGCCATGCACACCTTGCTTGCCGGGAATTTCCCACATGATCTTATGTCCACGCAAGGCCACTGCTAGATATTTATACCTTTTTTGGTCACTGTCAAACAAAAAGGAGATGCTAACACAAAGGCCCGAGGGAGACAAACACGACACAATGGAAACCATGGCAATACTAAAACAGAAAAGTACTAGTTGTGGAACAATTACTAGTATAGTGCCGTTCCTATATGACTTTAGCATTGTTGGTATGTCTGGGGTTTTTTTTTTTTACTTTGGACAGGCAGTTGGGATTGGCTGTGTGCATCTATGCAAAGGCCGCGTGTTGTTCATCATGCTATGTATCCGTTTAACGCTATATTTTAAGTTAACAAAAACACTCTTTATCATAAAAATAATAATGCCACGGGTGTGATTTTTTATTTTATTTTTTTGCAAAGAGGCTTAAAACCATATATTAAGAATCACAGGACCTTACAAACACACACATATAGAAAAGAAAATTTACAATCAAAGCTTTAGGGGTGCCGAAGTCTTCTTCCTCCTGCATCAATTGGCGGCGCATTGTGAGCAAAGCTCGGTTCCGTGTTTGGGCCTCCGCCTTGATGTAGCAAACTTTTTTTTAAACCCAGAAGCTTGTAGAAGCAACGAGCATGAAGTCAACGAGCATGAAGTCATCGATGCAGACCAGAGAAGAGAACGTCGATAAGGACCTGTAGACACTCTGAAGATCACGAAAGCTGGCTGAATTCAGGCGAATCCACCGAAAACCTAAACCGGCCGGATCCCGGAAGACCCGTCGACGGAGACACAAAATCAAACACCCTCAACCGGTGATGAGCACACCAATAGGGGATAGGACGGGGGCAACATTACTTTAAAAAATGGGGAAGCGTCGCCGGCACGCCGTCCCTAATAAAACTTGATGACACCATAAAGAATGCATGAGACAAAATTCTCACGCTATTGTATGCCATGTCTAGATCTGAGATCGAACTCGCCACCGTCCAGGGCCATGCGCCGACATCGTCTTCTCTGATGGCCTAGCCAAGCTGGGCCGCCGTAGAAGCTCACCATGCTGGATTGGTCCGGCCATCGCAGGATTCACCAACGCCACTGTCGAGCACTGCTTGACGAAGACCTGCACTCGAGCCCTCATCTCCTTGTCAAACTATAGCAACCCCTCAAGCCCTTCAAAACTTCCCCCAGTAAGCTGCCCCTGAACCCGAACTCCCCACCGCCGTCGCCGTGCCGGAGCAGCGAGAAAGGAAAGCAGTGGGAGGCGGCTAGGATTTTTCAGTTGTGTGAGCCTCCCCTCATAACGAACCATTACGTATGAGCATGGAAATTAATTTAGCAGTAAAATGAGAACCAACAAAAGTTCACCACACAAAATATATAGTTGAGGGTTCAAAATATACTAGTTTAACAATTAATTAAACCAGGCATTAACCGGTCAATCTGATCATGTTTGCTATCTTGCACGCACATCGGTGACATGGAACCATATATCTATCTGGGTGGCCATTGGCAAGCATATATCTTGATTGATCCCTTGTCTGTGTGACCAACTATGATCCACAAATCGAGGTATCACCGGCAGCGGAGTCATTTTCAGGATCTATCTATCGTGTACATGTGGAGCACATGAAAAGGAGAAAAATCAAGAATGAAGCAACCATTAGCTGGCACACTTCAATCTAGATACACATATGGTCAATCTTTCTAGGAGGCGAAAAGCCCATGAAGCAGCGGGAGAGCCTAGAGCCATGGAACTCTGGAATCCGCCGCCTTTTCCTCCTTTGCATAAAATGGAGCCAGATGGTCCACGCAAAATCCTGAGCTCGCCGGAGTACTGCGCGTGAGCGACCTCAGCAGCACCACACCCTGTAGGCCACCACACAGATCCATTCATCTAAGCTATCTCCGGCCACCACACAGATGATTCATCTTCTTCTGCCCTGAAGTAGAAGCAAACGCTATGCTACAAAATGAAAGAAAAGCCAAATATTCTTTGTTATGATGGGTATACGTATAGATGCTGGCTAGCAAGTTCATGTGAACTAGCTAGGTAGAGAATTTTTTTGTCATGTGATGCAGACTGCCACACAAAGCACAATCCATTACATATGTGTTCTTTTATGCCTGGCTAGCTAGCTACACATCACACACATTATGCATTGACTTTTCTCATCCTAGCTTTTTTTTTCTTTTCGAAAAGGAGGATGACCCCCGGCCTCTGCATCTGGGAGATGCATACGGTCATTTTATTAATTATTCTCGAGGACCTTACAAAGTATAACAACAATATGTCTGAATCCGCCATCTTGGTGTGCGAATAAGCCACGGCGTGTGTGCTCGGGCGCGTCGGGTGCGCGCGGGACGGGCGGGACACACTGATGCTGTTGGGCTCGTCAGGTTCGTCGGCCGTGTCGGTGGCGCGCGGGACGGATGGGACGTGTGGGACGCAGCAGCGTGTGCGTGTGTGGCGTGTGTGTGGCGTAGTCTCCACGGTAGATCGGCTGGGTCTTGGCAATCTGTTAGAGCAGCCGCGCAGTGTGCGTGGTGGTCAGCCGCGTCAAGCTAGCTAGGTAGGTGGTTAACGATGCATTGGGAGCGGCCGCAGTGTGCGCGTCACGGGTGCATGCGGCCGGGCATGCAGGACGTGCGCGCAGCGGGGCGGGGTGGGCTGAGTCATGTGCTTGCCAGCCCGGGTATAAATCCCGTAGACCATGTGATGATTGGAACCACGGTATGGAGTTTTGTGCTTTGGGAATAGTAACGGGGCTGTGATTGCAGCCGGGTGAAACTCTAAATTATTGTGCTCCTCCTTCTTCTACCTCTAGTCTTGAGTAAGAGAGATATAGCTGCAACAACAATTGGCAGCATCTCCCGCTACTCCTATCCAAATGATGAAGGGGTGCAAGCTGGGCCACATACTCATACCTCTCACACAAGCCTAACATCTAAAACCGGAGGCCCCGACCGAGCCATCTGCCGAGTCTGGGGCTCAAACCGGTCTGACGCACTCACATGTGTCATCGCCGCCATCTTCCACTGGTCCATCTTCAGAGCAGACTGAGGTGACAACCTTGGCAGGTCCTCCTCCATTGACGCCACCGCGACGCCAAACGACGACCTCCACCTACGCGAGCCTTGGCAGGTCCTCCGCCATTGACACCACCACGACGCCAGCCGACGACCTCCACCTACACGAGTCCATCTCCAAGCAACGGACGTAAATCCATGCTAGAAAAGGGCCGCATCACCGCCGTTGCCCACCCCCCACAAGCGCCACCCAACCCCAAGGTTCCCAAAGCGGCGCCTTCAAGAAGGGAACGGCGCCGTGAACGCCGCCGCCGCCCAACAGAGTTAGGGCTTTCGCCCGGGAGACCTAGGGAAAGGTGAAGTGAGGAGATCAGTCCATACCGACGCCTCCAAGGAGGGAAACGACGCCCTCAGGCATCGCCGTCGGGGCCCGGTCATGGCCGGCAAGGGATTTCGCCCGAACTAGATCTCTGCCACCAGCAGCACCTCATGTACAGAACCAGCGACCGAGAGGAAGCGCGGCCCGACCAGGCTGGCCCGCACGCCGAACAGGGGAGAAAGGGAGGCACCAGATCGCGCACACTGACCGCTGCAGAAGCCGCCGCCGACCGCCAACGACCACCGGATCCCGCCGCCCACGCGGTCGGGACACCGGATCCACCACCCGCACGGCTGTTAGTCGGTCGTGCCTTGCCAATGAAGCCGCCGCTCCAGATCCAGGATTCCCCACACAGGAGCAGGGCAACCGAGTCCTCGCCGCCACCATCCTTGGCGCCCCGGGCTTGCCCGGCGGCTGCCTCAGGCGGCGGCGAGGGAGGGGGGAGGGGAGGTGGTGAGGAGGAGGGGCAGCTAGGGTTGGGAGGAGGAGGCGGCCCTGTTGGAAGACCTGTAAGTTCTCCTGGTTCAGACACCCAATTTCTCATCCTAGCTAGCTACGGACAAGATCAATCATGAAAATCACACACAAAAGAGTATACATACAGTAAATAGGTAATTACTTTTGGTGAAAATATGAAATGTCTTATACAATGAAAAAAATTGTACTAGTCCATTTTTGTATACAAGGCTACAAACTCTGGTGGGTCGATCTCGATTGGGTCGTCGTGTCATGTGTGTAAGTATGAAGCTATGGAAGTTTATATGGTGTCATGGAAGAAACAAACGAGCAAAGATGGTGGCAGTACCATTTCTTCGAAGCCCTAGAGGTGCAAGCTAGTGGCATTGTGCAGAAGGTCGAGCAGGCGGCAGAGATCGCTCACCAGCGAGCTTTTGCCCGTTCGTCTAGTTCGTCATCGTAAGAATCATCACGGTCATCATACTGCCGTCAATCCCATGTGGAGGGTTGATGATGATGATCAGTCTCGTCGACGTCCCATGGATGCTTGGGAGAGCGGAAAGGTCTGGTTGGTCCCGGGACTACCCACCCCCGTCATCTCACTCGGTTGGGCCCTGCTGAGATCCGTGCTCTAGATTGTTATGTCGCAACCGTTTGCAGGAGCCGGGTGCTTATCCACTCTATTTGACTATGACCAAGGCATGCAGCAGGGGCTAGAAGTCGTATTATTTTCTTACTAAATGACCCTTGAAGAAACTATATTTTGCCACTGACCCCTCCCCCAATCACAAACTTATTTTCACGGCCAAAC